TTTCTGGGCGTCTTGCCAGACCCTTTTTCTCAGGCCCATGCAAGACAATTACAAGTTTTTTTTCCATGCGTATTTATTGGTAGATGGCACACCTTCCCCCCACTCAAAACTCGATGTCCCCATCGCGCGACTAGTCCTCACTCGGAGGTACAAGACCTTTGGCCCGCCGACTGAGTCAAGGACGTAAGCCCACTCGCTTCACAAAGGAGGGATGATCATTTCTTCCCCAGCGGGTGGCGCCTCATCCTTCCACTTAGTCCGACCTTTCTTCTCTTACGTGGCAAGCACCAATACTGAGCTTCCTCCTCACTTTTGGCAGGCAGGTCCAATCCAAGCCTTCCAAGGCCTCGTCTAGCCGTAAGAGCGTTCCTCGCGAATCGTTCCTCCCGAGTGGTGATTTTCTGGATTCCGGCCTCTTCCTTTCAAGAGAGTTGGGCTCTCGGTCAGTTCGCGAGTGCAGTTACGAAGACCTCGCAATTAGTCCTGAAGCGGTTGTAATGCTCCGGCGGGGCGGTGTCAATGCCCCGTGGTGGCCGCGGACTCCACCCGGTACTCCGCCAAGTCCCTCCCCTTGGACAGTGCTGCCCAACTTAGTGCGGGCAGCCGAGGTCCGACCCAAACGGCCATGGCACCCCTCTATGACATGGCGAGTGGTTGGAGAGGACAAAATAGACTAGATGAGAATGACATCCTCGCCCATTTGGCTTTTTCGCCCTTTGACGTTTAGGCGTTCAACAGGAGGCGCAATTTGAACTCCCCGGCTAGAGCTCATTGCCGGGGGTAGTTCCGGACGTCCCGCACCGATCCAAGTGGTAGGTGTCTTAGTCCTTTAACCCTCATCCCCTTGAAGAGGAACAGGTCGCGCTGAGACTTTTTCCCTCAAAGGGATAGAGGTCTTTGGGGTTGCGGTGCATGCACCGATATCCCCCTCTTGCTGAGGCCAAAGACTAGAAGAAAAAAGAAATTTCATTTCAAGGCTCTTTCCAAATCCACTTCCAGTTGCCTAAGGTCCCCTGTTTATGCAATGCAATTTTCAATACTCAATCCAATTTCAATGCTCAGTCTCATTCCCATGCTCAATCTCAGTCTAGTGCTCAATCTCAGTCCAATGATCAATCTCAGTCGAATGCTCAATCTCAGTCCAATGCCCAATACAATATCTCTTCCAAGGCTGAGTCCAATATCCTTTTCAAGGCTGAGTCCAATATCTTTTCCAGGACTGAGTTCTTTGCAATCTCCTTTCCAAGGCTCTGCTCTTACCAATCTCTTTTCCAAGGCTCAGCTCTTCCAATACCATGCATCTCAAACAGCCATGCAAAGGGACCCCAGTGCCAATTCCAAAGAATGACCCTTGTCAGGGGCCATTTCGGACAACCTGGTTAGGGTTGCTCTTTCCACTTCCAAGTCGAACAGCCTGGTTAGGGTCATTCTTATCCATTTCAATTGGACAGCCTGGTTAGGACCATCCTTATCCATTTCAATTGGACAGCCTGGTTAGGATCATCCTTATCCATTGCAATGTCAGTGCCCGAGGGGGTGGGCCTCGAGGACACGGATCCTATCTCGTCTCGGGGGTTAGAGGGTGGCCATCATCTTGGGTTTTTAGCAGCGGTCCCGTCCTATCCACGACCCCGCTTCTTCTCGTGGTTGCATGTTGGCCCTCAACAAAGCTCGCCCACTTCCTCTTTCTCCACTACCGAAAAGTCTAGGCTGTTTAATATCGTTATAACGCGTCTCATCCCCCCGTGTGAATTTCAGTCAACCCTTTCTCCAGGACCCAGGATTTGTCCCTTGAGGGTCCTAGAACACCGTCCTCTTATGATGTCATGGTTAAGCTTCGGGCAAAGCCTAACGAAGTGTCCCATCAAGGTGCAATATTGACATGATTCCTTTGAAGGATCTTTCCGACCGGTTCTGCGCTCGGGTCTTGGAGCTAGAGCTTCTTGGGGTACTAACGGAGTTCGAGATACGTGGGTTTGCACCACCCGGAGGGTATCCCCTACCCTTTCCCTCTGGTTGTCCGTCCCTTCCCCTTGATCGTGCAACTCCCCCGACCCCTTTTTCATCCCGTACCCGGTTGTTTCTAGGACCTCAAACCCTTCGTTGTTTCGCCGGCGACTCTCTATTCCGTCTTCCCTTTCTTGGTCGAGCCAGCCTGTGAGTCTCTCCCTTAGATTCCACAACTCACTATAGTCTTCATTTGACAAGGATTGTCCCTCTGTACGCTGGCTTGTTCGATGGTCCGTTCCGGGCTTCCTTATTTCCTTCGCGGTCCCTACCTTGGAAGGTCGCACCCCCATTTTTCCCCCGCGTTTCCCCCCGTCCCCCATTCACCGGGCTTCCCAATCATGCGCTCTCGTTGCATCTCACCTTGCCATTCATCATTGTGTAGCTTATCGTCATTCTCACCCTCAATGTCCTTTATCATTTCTTCAATTACACCAACCTTGTAAGTTGCTATCATCTGCTCCACTTCCTTAAGTCTTCGTAGGGTGTCTGCTACCTTCCTTTTCTTTGTCACTCCACCCACCGAGGTCTGTGACTCTTTCGTATGTCCGACCACGATTGGCCTCATTCCCCGAGATTATGTAGGCCTCCTCCCGGTATGACTCCCTTTCTCCAAAATCCCCCTCTCGTTGCCTTTGACCCCCTCGCTGTTGAACCACCGGTTGGCGTTCATGCTACCGTCTTGTTCCCCCGGATTCCGACCATCCACGTTGCCTATCCGGTCGCGTTCATTTCTCCGGCCCCTTTGGTTGCTTGCGACATCCATAACGTATCAGACCTGCGTGCCATACAATCGAAGGGAGGAGAACTTGTTTTAGAATCTACCTCTCACAGTTTTCCTATCGCTATCAGTTTCGGAAATGTTCTCGTCTTCAAATCAGCTTAATCCTTGTCCTCTCACTTCGTTGTGCTCTTTAGGGTTCTCCCTACCCTATATGTTTTCTCGCCCTTTACCTGTCTTACTGTTTCGACGGTCTCTCTTACCAGTATCACAAGGAGGCCAGACAAGTAGAACCACTTATTCCCCCATTTCGGACACCCATGCTTTGCTCGATTCCGGTTGCCCGCTGGTTGACACCTTTTCTTAACTTCCTAGGGATTTTTCATCACGCTTTGGCCCCTAAAAGTTATGAAACTCTTCCGGCCCCTCGAATTTTGCCGAGACGTCATCCTGGTGGTTCTTGCAACAAAAACGCACACGCGAGGCGCCCCCTTTCTATATTTAGCGAGTCACTTATATGCTGCCGTATATACTATGTCTGCTACACTGGTCCGGCTATTCGCCCTGACTGGTCCTGCGTCCCTCTCGTCACCCTTCCCCCTGGGGATCCTCTTCATTCCCAGCCATCATTTGCTAGATAAGTCTCGCCTTATATTTCGCAGTCCGCCTTTCTATTTCTGCCAACTTTCGGCGTGCATCCGAGACTTTCATTTTCTTGGGCGTGGTTCCTCCGGAGTTTCGCGCGTCGAAAAATCCTTCCCATTTTCCCTGGTTCCCTCTGGTTTTGCTGACTCTCGATCCTTTACTGATGCTTCGTTTCGTTCCGTACCCCTACCCGTGCCCTGATTTCCTTCGCTTCGCTGTTCCTCAGCCTCTTCTTCCGACGCCATCCCTTTACCTACCCTGTATATGAATTTTTTTTTTTTTGCGAAACGGCCGGTTGTTCATAGCTTCCCTAGTTCCCGGCCCCTAGGGTCCCCTCATTCTTACTTATTTCCTTGTTTTCCCGTCTTATTTTGTCGGGACGACTTACCCAACAATTTCCTACAGGGCGTCGTTCTATCTTGCTTTTGCCGGAAGGCTTGCTGCCGAGCTTTGGCGTTTCGTCACTGCCGTGCCCTGGTCCCTTAGGGCGGTGTCTGGGGCTAGCGGCTCTCCCCTTGAGGGTAGCCCTTTTGACTTCCCGACACCCGGATGCCCCAACGTCCTTCAGCGCGGGTGGTCTTCCCAGTTCCCTCCTGCCACATCTTTGGGTACGGCGGAACTCCGACCACAGCCCCCTTCTGCTGATGGCTACCTTCCTATCTTAATATCCATCCTCTATTTTTCCCACATTTCCTTGGCGCCTTTCCTCACGCTGGTCCTTCAGGCCTGCCTTGTTCATCTGGTTCCTCGAACAGGTCAGCCACACCGGCAAGGTAGTTTTCTCCCATCCCTATTTCCCTAACGATTATTGGTGCATATTCCTCAAACGTCAAGCGAGGCAACCCGAATATCAAAAATTCAATGAGGTCTAGTAATTCCCAGGCATGATTTCCCGAGAACAGCCCATGCCTGACCGATACATCGTAAAACATCCCTGTTGTTTGTGGTCGGAAGTGGTGAATCCAGACAAGGGTCGAATCCACCAGATCCCTCGCCCTTGCGAGGCTGCCGAACACCAGGTCCACCATGAAGCAAGGCACTCGACACCTCAGCAAAGTCATTGGGGCCTTAAATTCCCGCCAACCTCCTATCTCCAACCGGGTTCTCAGTCCCACATTCCTTCTCCCTCCCACTTCCTGGCCTACTCGGTTCAGCACCCTAGTAGCCCTCTGGAAAATTGGTAACAGATCGTGCCCTAGCGCCAGTTCCGTTCCTAACATGTACCACCGTCGGCAGGTATACGGTCCCCGTCACCCTAAGGTGAGTGTACAGGTCGTCCCCTGGTCCCCTATTAATCCTCATACCATCCCACAAACATCCACCATCATGAACGCCTGATCCCTTCCCAAGGTCACGGCCCTCCATTTGGTATCCAGTCCTCGGACCATGTAGCTTGCTAGAAGCGATACCTCCCATCCACCTACACTTTCCGTGGGTGGTCGCGGGTACGTGGGCCGTCGTGACATCCGGGTGCGTCTCATCGCCATTTTGGACTTAGAAATCCCCTGCACAGTTTTAAACAGCAAGCAAGTTTACTTATTTCATTTGGTCTTCAGTTCTCCGCCCGAACAACTCTCCGGTCCCTAGCCCGACGCTTCTTTTCCCCCTTTGTTCCTTCCCCTTTCTTTCGACCCTATTACCGACCTGTTCCTACTTCCAGCGGGTCATACAATCGGTATAGATCATCCATGTACACCATCCCTTGACTTATTTCTCATCGGATGACACCCCACAGGACCTCACTTCCCACAACCGGAGCCCTCGGCCTGGTGCTAAACACGACACGCAGGATGCGCAGCACCTTATACTTCTGCTCTCCACTGAACGACCCCATTTCTAAGAAGACCCGATAGTATTCTCGATGTACCATTGCCTCTTCGTATGTCAAGCTTGCGAGCTCGACCACTGCTCGTCTAACAAGTCCCAGCCCGCCCAGCCTTCCCAGCAGGAAGGGCGGCAGCCTCATTCGTACATTTTCACTAGGCAATTCGAAACTCCCGACCATGGCCACCCTAAGGTCCGCTGTTACGTCGTCAAACCTCGGATCTGCGAACTCAAACCCCGCCTGCCATACTAACTGCCATGCCCCTTCAAACATGCTCAACGGGTTTTCTCCTGATGCCAACCGAACTCCGAACTCCCTCCACCCATCCTTTGACACATACAACCGTCCTTCTGCACGCACATGCCCCCGCGGGTCCGGGTTCCATTCCCCATTCTCTTCCGCACGCCACTCAACTTTCGTCACCAAGTAAACCATATTTTCCGCAAGCTCGACCCCGACCCAATCTGCCACCTGGTGCCAGCCTTCACTTGTCGTCGGCAAGCTAACCTCTACACCACCCGGCACTTCCCTCGGCGGTTCAATGCCCAAGGGGCGTTCCCCAAGGAACGTCCTTCTTCGCGCCATCGCGCACTCGCCTTCGATCTCCTGGCCCGCAATCCGCCCTGAACCCTACAATGGCCAGACATCCCATTCCCTTATCTTAGCAATTTTTCCCATATTTGCCTGGCCCCACGGCTTTCCTGCGCTTAGTCGAACCACAGCACTTCGAACAGTTTGAACACATCGTCCACATAACAGGGTGTTGCTGCCACCTCACGGCGGATTATGGCCTCCCTAGTTTCCGGGGCCACCTCCTGTCGGTCATTCCTTTTGATTTCCAAAATGATAAGAACCTCCCGGGCTCTATCGCCATGGAAGGGCCCGAATTTCAAGGACGTCCTATAGGATTCCTCTGCCAGCCATGCGCAGTCCACGTGTATTCGTTCCATCGTGTCCGCCACCTCTGTTACATGATCAAAGCCCCCAAACCAGTCCGCCACGAACTCGGGCACCCAGATCTTGGTTCGGGTGCCAGGCGGTTTAAATTTCTTCCATCCTCCCATCACGACTCTACTGTTGACCGTATCCCAACCCTTGTTAGCAAACCTTTCCCCCGCCTGTCGAGCCCTTGCCCCAGCGTCCCCTAAAAGCCACATCGGGTCCTGTCCTGCCGCGAGCGTTGTGCAGAACAGGTGCCAACCTTGTTCGGAGAGAACAATCGTCCCGATTGATTCCACCCTCCCTTCTGCAATCTCTTCCCATCCTTCCTCTTCCCTCAACGGGTTCCAGACTCGCTCTATCCATAGGTACGATAGCTCCGGCACAATCTCATACCCCCGCCAATCACATGTGGTCCCCTTCCATTCATAGCTCGACGGTACCGACATCTCTACTCCCCTTCCGATTCGTCTTGGTTCCCATGTACAGTCCCATGGCTCGAGTTCCCGGTTCATTGCTCCCTACCTGCACATGGTTGACAACCCGTTTTCCCCGGGTAAGTCCCCCCCTCAGAAGTCCCAGTCCTCTATCTCGTCCCCATCCTCCTCATCACCGAAATCCTCCTCGTCTACGAACATCTCCTTTACCATTTCCAAGAAGGTTTCCCCTGCTGCCAAGTTTCGGTAGACTATCTGCCAATGCACCGAACTAGGAACAAAGACTTCATCCGCGCTGAGGAGGTTTAGCACCTCAGCTAATTCTTCCGCCCAGTTTCCTTCAAACGGCCCTGCCTCCACCGATAACCTAAAGAAGTCTTGTCTAGCACATTGGTACAGCCTCAGGCGTGTCATCGATTGGCATATACGTTCCAGTCTATCCCTGGTCCCAAAGACTGCATCCACCAGAAACGGAGGTAGCACGCACCTCATTGTCCTAAGAGGACGTCTCATGTTTTCCCGGTCCCCGAGTTCCACTCGCCCCTCCATCCTTTCCATCTCCATTTCTGCCCACTGACATGCTGCCCATACCACTTCCCGTTCCGCTTGCTTAAACAACTGATCTGGTGCCGTGCCCAATACTAGTCCCACTACCATTGCATTTTCCATTTCCTGGGACACGTAGACCCGTCCTCGAGCTTCCACTGTTCCCCGAAATTCTAGGTCCATCAAACTAGGTGAAAGTCTCGTCAGGCTGACCTTAGTCCAGATCGTTTCTATCCAAAGGAACGCGTCCCTCTCGTCCAGCATCACGGTTTCATATGCTGGTTCCAGGTCGGTCCACGTCCCTTCTTCCGGGAGAACAACAGATACCCCGCCCCTTACTTCTATAGGCATTTCCGGACCATTAAAGTAGACAGGAGGCGCCAAACACCGCGCCATCTTGTTTCCCGACTCTTGTCCTGTTTCCACATGAGAGCACCACACGGCCCCTTATGGTCAGATGGTTTGCTTCTTCCTTTTTTAGATGAGAGTCGTTTTCAGGCCCCTCATCCGGGTCTCCTTCAACTTTTCCCATCCATTTTCCAGGCGTCATTGTCCTACCATACTCCCAATCGATCACCAGCCGCTCGCATTCCTCTTTCTTGGTTCCACTTTCTTCCGACTCCTAGCAAGCCTCTTCCTCATGTTCTCTCACTCGTGCAGACCTAGGCAGGGGTCGAGAATAGACTTAGAACTCGGCCCCCATCCAACATTCATCAAGCAACTTTACAGAGGGAGGTACAAAAAGAAAAAACCAAGCAGTCATCGCACACAGGCCGGTCATCTCCTCACCGACCATTTCCTCAAAGTGGTAACTTCACTGTTACTATAGGCAAGGTTTTATCCCATACCTCAAGCACAGCTCAACCGTCGCGAGCGCGGTACCCAGGTCTCAGCAAGGCATTCGCCCTTTCCTCCTTACCCAGAATACCCCATCCTGACTTGCCGCTCGTGTACCCACTGTTAATCTCGGGAATCACCCCGCACATCTCGGTAGGCCTTTGGAGCCAGCACTCCAGGCATTCACTTCCATCGGTCCGACAAGGAACAACCTTTCCCAAACCAATCTACGAGAAGCTACTAATCGCCTCCGAGGCTCCCTCCTTGCCCCATACGCAGTGGTCCCCCTGCCGTCTGCCGACAAGTAGCTGCCCCGCCTGAAGCCGTTTCGCACCCCGCCTGGGCAAGGTCATCGAGCCATGCTCGGACCGCCCGGGTGAGAATTTTACTAACCAGCCGACGAGACCAACTCCTGTCTGACAGCCCGGTGGCCCGACCCCCGTGCATGGAACCCGGCGAACTTCAAAGAGAACGACTTTTCGCAACCCGCACCGACTGGTGCAAACCAATCCTTTCCTTCCGAAAGGCAGGACGCTCGAATCCCCATCATGCAAGCACAAGTCCCAAGTGGGACATACATGGTACAAGTGCCTTTCCCTTGGTGCGCCCAGCGCTTCCTACCCATAGCTCGCAATCTTCTCTCAGGACCGTATGTGCCACTCACCCTTACTTTCCATACACAGTGCCTGGTTCCTTCTCGTGAGCATCTTCAAGGGTGAGCTAGTTTTCTTTGGAGTCTAGCAACTCCCTTCATTCCCTTATCTCCTTTTGTCTGTCCGTTCATAGGGCAGGATTGTTCCTTCTTGATTACGTGTTATGTTCATATGAGGTTTCTTCAATCATTTAAAGAAAAGTGCAAAGTGCATGAGCCCATTGGGCTCAGAGAAGATAGAAAGGTACCCGTCCGGTCGGATCACTCCGCCGTGGGATTTTCATCGGAACCTGGCCTAAGCCAAGCACCAACCGCCTGCCAGGTAACCGGAGCCCTTCTTTCACACGAAGAGGAAGGGTCGACCTGCGGCTTGCCCAAGGCTTCCCCGGTCTGACGAACATCAGCTCGAGAGAAGGAGGACTAGAGTCACCTCCAAGGGAGATGGCTGATTAAGTGTGCAAGCATGCATGTTATTCCTCCAGGCTTGGCCTTGCCATGCGCCGAGCCACCCTCAAATCTGATTCACGCAAGGGGTAGAGCATACACAAGTCCATGTTCCTTCTCTTAATGTTTATGTCCACGGTCATGCGTCGGGCACCCCCCTCGAGACCGTATGGGTCAATTTAACCCATACCGGGCACCTCCACCATTTTTGTAGGGGCCGTACTCTGAAGGACTTTCGAGCCTTGGTCGACCCCACTTCGGGCCCCACTTGGCTCGACCCACCCACGCTCACGCCCTGGGCGCGGGTCGTTCGTCCCAGGGGCACCCCCACCTAGTGCTTTCAGATGGATGGGGGCGGGCCAGTTGCGAGAGGGCTTTACATTGGGGGATGTAGCTCCGCTCTCGCATCAAGATGGTAGCTCTTTGGCACTCGTGGCGTTTTCTCGGTTCAGTTAAGTCTGACCAGGCAATTGCTCCTTCCAATACGCAAGCAGTCCAGGGGGTTTACTGAAGGTTTGTCTTCTTATCATGCGCAGGCCAAGCGTCATCCATTGGGCCACACACCTTTTCACTAAGTCTAGTGGCTCAAGACAGCCCCCACGGCATCCTTGGGGTGGGGTGGCATTGCCCGGACCCCTAGCCGCTATATATATTTTTTTGCTTGAGCCACCAACATTGCATTCACCTATCCATGACTGCCCTTAGTCCTTCTGGGCTTGCATTGCATTCAAGAGAGCCATTGCATTCGATCATCACACAAGCCCCATTCCGGCGCCCACCACTCATTCAAACATCCGACCATCCAACCCATCCCGCATTCATAGTTTAAGCGGGGTCTATGTCCTTCCCTCGTCGCTTTCCCTATTCCCGCCCGTCTCCGGCAGACGAAGTCCCATCCAGACCACCCCAGGCTACTCACCTGCGCAAGACCACACAAAGCAAAAGCCAGGTACAATCCCCGATGGGGTCAACACAACGCCCCTCCCACAAGCCTAAGTTTCTTTTGCCTTTGATGATCCTTTGGTTATCTTTCCCTTCACTCAAGCAAGCCATGCCTTCACCTTAGTCATGCAGTCAGGGAAGATGGTTGAGTCAAACTGACCTCGTTACAAAAACAACACTCCTTTTGGCTTCCGCAAAAGCTCTCGACAGTCCCGTATCCTTTCCTTCTTGGTGGCACAAAGGACCGGCAACCCCTCCCTTGCCCTCGCTTTCCCCCAAGTGAGGACTAAGTTATTTTCCGTTCGTTCCCTGGCAATATAACGGGTGAGGGTAGAGGTTAGTCATATGCCATAGAGGGGAAGGAGTGGGGGAAGAGGTAAGGGTTAAAGGGTTTGAAGGAATGGGAAAAGAAGGAGAGAGAGAGAGAGAGAGAGAGAGAGAGAGAGAGAGAGAGAGAGAGAGAGAGAGAGAGAGAGAGAGAGAGAAGTTTCACATCCTAATCGACCTTGATCCTTGACTTACCCTAACCGATCCTGTCCGAAGTCCCGTGCATCCTCCTTGCGACTCCTCCTTAAGGCTCTCGATTGGACGGGGGAGGTAATAAGCGAGGG